GTTGAGGCTGCGGTGGCCTGGGAGTGGCCACTGCACTCCAGTCTGGGCGACAGAGTGAGACTCCAATTCAAAAAAAAAAAACAAACAGGGAATGTAGATTAGAAACAGACCTTCATTATGAACTGATAAGCCACTGATGACAAGTTTCAGTGTTTATCCTTGAACCAGCCATACAGTTAATATTTTTTAAAGAATGGTAATCAGTGCTGTGTTAAAAGAAATCCTACCCCAAAACAAAAACTGACGCCAATAAATAGTCCTTTTCTCCTTCTTTGAGCTTTTTTCAGAAGATGAATAACTTTATTTTCTTTTATTTTATTTTTAGAGACAGGGTCAAGCTCTGTTGCCGAGTGCAATGGCATGATCATAGCTCACTGTAATCTCAATTTCTTGATCTCAAGTGATCCTCCCATCTTGGCATCCCAAAATACTGGGATTACAGGCATGAGCCACCATGCCCCGCTTGATATATCAATACCTAAATTTTTTAAATGACTTTCACAGCTTTTTCTCAGTTATACTGCACAGTAATGATTCTCTCCATTAAAAAATGAATTTGTGGCTTGGAGAAATTAAGCAACTTTCTCAAAATCGTATGGTTAGAGAAAGTGCGTTTCAAGAAATGTCTTCTATCTCTAAATCAGCAACATAGCCTAGTAGAAAAAGCATGGATTTCTCAGTTTGACAGAATTTAGTTCTGTCATTTTCAACCATGTACATAAGTTGTCAAATTTTTTTTTTGATATCTCAAATTTCTCAGTTACTTATATAATGAGAGTTTCAATTACTTGGTAGGTTTTTTGGAGGAGGATTAAATGAAAGCCTGTGTAAAATGCTTGTTAGATTATTCATCTTTTCCATAAGAGTTCAATATCAGTATCCTTTTTATTCCTGCTGCATCATATTGTCTTACTGCATAAAACAACGAAGAAAAAGTACCTTAAGATGAAGAAATATATATTCATAATCTACAGCTATCCGTGAATGGTCATTTAAATATATATGATTGATCTTTTGAAACTAAATCTGTCAATATCTTTTTCTAGGAAAGCAATTTTAAAATGCTCTTCTGAAGATGTTTGTACAGATGATGTCTTATCAAAGGAAAACACGGGTATGTGAAGGCCTATCCTGCTTTTAGTTCTTTAATCTATATTTAATTCTACAAAATGTAGTTGTAATTCTTTGAAAGAAAAAAATATCCGTTGTGTATATACGTATATATGAGGAACATCATGGGTCATTTTTGATATTGATTTATATACTAGGACTTTTTAATTGTTTTTAGGTTTCTATTTCCTTTAATTAAATTTTCTCTGGCTTAGTCATGTATTTAACTTGATAAAAATAAAGCACCAGCACTTGCGGGAAGAAATGCCAGCAACTACACATTTCAATCCAGACTTCATCATTCCAAATATACTGGGGGCCTAGGAGTACCAAAGAATGGGGAGGCAAATCAGGAGCCCGGGGCTTACAAGCAAATTGTCATTGGTATTAGGACACAGCAGGGTGAACGTGGACACAGTAGGGTGAACCTGGAATGCAGGGAGAAAGTTCTCGTTTTCAAAGGCAGTTTACTCTTCCTACATCTTCTTTAGTCTTGAAAAATAGTCAAATGCGTATTTGCAATGTGAAACTTTGGCAGTCATGTTCAAAGCCCATTAAGCCCCCAGGAGTTACCAGTTCTATATTTCTTCTTCCTTGAAGCCACCCCCAGATCCTATGGCATTGCATTTCAATTGGCTAAATAAGCCACTCATTTACAGTCTCCTAAATAGAAAGGAAAGCAGGCAAAGGAAGGACGAAGGAGGTTTTTTTTTGGAAATTCTTTTGTTCTCCTAAACCACTACAAAATTCTGTTGTTTCTACATCTTTTCAAACTTATTCTGCTGCTGTTTGTCTGCTTATTAAGGTTTCTCTTCTTAGCTACTTCGTCCTTTTGCCTCACATGATCAGTTCAATATTTCTGTAGAAAGGCAAAAGTCTGTTTATTCCTGAACTGAGTTCCCACCAGGAGACCCTGGCACAGTAGCTGAGGACTCTAACACCAGGATCCTTTTCCTCTCCTCTCCCCTCCTAATACTTCCTAAACTAGGGATCAGGAGGAGAGCTAATTAAGTGCAGCTACTTTATTCTCCAAGTAACTCACACAGGTTGTTAGAGAATGTTGCTGCAACTAGAAAATGACTAGAAATGACTCTTCTTTGTAAGTGATTAAATACATCTCAGTAGTTATCCAAGTAAAGGGAAGCCCCTTCAGGAGTCTAACATCTGGTAAGGCACTGAAAGTCTTGAGAGTTAATTGTTAAAATAGTTAACCTGATTGTGTCTTATTCTTCCATCCCGTTGACAACTAAAGAGCAAGAACATCTGATCAGCTATCTTGGCAAGAGCTGACTCGCTTCCTAAAAGAGTGGTTATGTTCAAGGTTCACCTTCCTTAAGTTTTTAATCGCCTGTGTTTATTTCTATGACTCCCTCAATCCAAACCATGGAATAGCTCTCATTTCTTCATTGCTTAAGTTAGGATCAGTCCTAGATCAAATGATGAAAGAAAGTTACACTGTCTTCTTCTTGAGTCTCTGCCTCACTTCTGGGACCCACGGAAACTCCCAGGTGCTCAAGTTCCCCATTAGTCTGCTGCCCTGGATTGTCGTTTCTTTATGAGCTTTATGCTCCACTGATTGCCCCCCCCCTCGCCTTTCCCCTCTGCTTCTCTCCCATTTCCCTGCTTCCTTCTCTCCTCCTCTCCTTCTAACATTCCCTACGTTAGGGGTCAGGAGGAGAGCTGATTAAGTGCAGCTACTTTATTTCTCCAAGTATAGGTTTCCTCAGCAGTGAAAAGAGATGCAGTAGAAGACCTCTTATCCAAGAAGGACAGGACCTATTTCTGGAAATTAATTGAAAAGGCCGAGAAATCAGTAAATAATTGAAATTCTATGCCCATCACTGTATAAAGACTTAATCTTAGAAATAAGTGTTTGTGAAGCATGCCTGTATTTTTGAGAAAATTGCCACCAAGAATATTATGTATGAATTTACATTGTTTCTATAATTCCACTTTCAGTGTTTAGGAACAAGAAAATTTATCTATGATGATAAAATGGTAATAGCAATAATAATGATGATGACAAGTACCTACAACAATTACCCTGTTTCCTCACTTCATATACTTGTTTATTTAACTCTCATAAGATCTATATGAGGTAGATAAAGTAGACATAGTATTATCTCCCATTTAATTGATAGGGAATTAGGTCCTTAAGAAGTTATATGGCTTTCAAAGGTCACATAGCTTCTTAAAATTAAAAGTGTGCAGGTATTTTTTTGGTTGCTTTGAGTACCAGGAAGCTTAAAGCTTTGTATGGGCTCTTTGGTATAGCATTGGTAGTTGGTTTAAGCATTCTTAAATTTAATTATTGGCCTTCATATTCCCCTTAATGAATTGATTTCAGATTCTTTTAGTCTTTTGAGTTTTTGTTGTTTGCTTTATTGTTTCACTGTTGTCTGTTGGTAAGCACTTTATTTGGGGGAAGTGGACAGACTATAAAAGTTTAAATAAATAAAACTTTAGCATATTTCCCAGAACCAGCTAATAATCTGTTAACATTCATTATTTAATTAGCAAAGGATGCGTTTTTTAGGTACCTAAGACAGGTAAGCTTAGAAAAGTGGTAACTATAAGAAAGGTCTTGTTCATAGGGTGAGCCCTAGAGGGAGCAGAAAAGCCTTGGGGCCTGAGTCAGAGGCCAACGCTGTGGCAGGGAGAAATGTGATGTCTTGCTGCTCAGGACAAATGTTGCCCACCTACTTTTGTTTTGGAGTTACCTTTAACTTCTAGGCTGGAAACCTGGATTGGCCCTGGCCCCCTTTCTCAAAAAGCACCATGTTCCTATCTCTGTGTCTCCAGGAATAGTGTATTCTTTATTACATTTCAACCTGAATTTTACTTATGGTTACATATAAATTATAAACACACAAAGGAACATTTGTGGTTACTTTAAAACAAAAGCAAGCCAAGTGCCTTCTCCCCCTCCTCACCTTGATCCTTTATTAAAATGCCTTCAAAATTTCAACATTGAAATAACCCTGCAAATTCAAGATCTTTTTCAGCACCAACCTTGGGGTACTCTAAGCAGTATTCTCTATATTAGGGAGAAAACAGTTTCTTAAACATTTAATAGAGAAGTAGAGATTAATGAGAACTCACTAAAGTAGACATTTGAAAGGTTTTTAAATAGTGACTAAATGAAGCTGAGTTATTTTTTTAAAATTAGGAATGGAAAAAAAAAACAAAAACACTGATTTGTTTTATACATATTTTTAAAAACCAGATATGGACTTCAGTATTAGAGATTTCTTTTCCTCTCTTTTCTTATTTTTGTTAATACTTTCTCTGAGTGACGAAACAACTGTAATGTTACCACTTTACTCTCAACAACAAATTGAAGCCAGTCAGGGAAACTACAAGATCATCAGTATTGATAGAAGATGATTGGCCATGCAATCAGCAAAGGCATTCATTTTGTCTCTGTCTTTAGAGGATATCATTGACCAAATTTGATAACCTAGTTTGTAGATTACAGTAACTGCTATTTCTTGGGAATTATTTTTGAACTTCACTTTACAATATAGGAATACCTATTTAGAAAAGTAAACCTCCCATTGCTCTGAAAGCAGAATTTGACATCATTCAAGTTGGTGTTATGAACCCTGGTTGGTTTATGAAGTCATCCATTGCTTTGTCTATCCTTTGATCAAAAAGTAGTGTACATATTTTTCCAGATCATTTGAAAATGGAGAGCCAACAATGCCATTCGGCAATGACATTCATGATCATAAATTGATTGTGTTTTAACCCAACGTTAGAAATATAAAGATGGAATTGGCAAATACTTTTTCCCAGTTTTTGGGCTGTCTTCTTGCTCTCTTGATGGCTCTGCAGAAGCTTGTCAGTTTAATGAGGTCCCACTTGTCTATCTTATCTCTTATGGCCCGTGCACTTCAGTTTTTGCTTAGGAATTGGATATCAGTTCCGACTTCCATAAGGGTATGTCCTGCATTTTCTATAGTTCTTATGGTTTGAGGTTTTTACATTTAGGTCTCTGATCCATTTAGAGTTAATTTTTGTGTATGGGGATAGATAGGGGTCCTGTTTCAATCTTCTGCATGTGGTCAGCCAGTTTTCCCAACACCATTTACTGAATAGATTGTCCTGTCCCCAGTGGTTGTTATTGGAGGCTTTGTCGAAGATGAGTTGGTTGATGTCTGACAAAGCCTAACATCTAGGATCTACAAGGAACTCAAATGTGCTGAAAAGAAAAAAACATGACAACCCCATTACAAAGTAGACAAAAGACATGAACAGACACTTCTCAAAAGAAGACATACGAGTGGCCAACAGATACATGAAGAAATGTTCAACCTCACTAGTCATCAAGGAAATGCAAATTAAAACTACACTGAGATACCACCTAACTCCAGTCAGAATGGCCATTATCAATAACTCAAAAAATAACAGATGCTGGAGAGGATGTGGTGAAAAGGGAACGCTTTTACACTGTTGGTGAGAGCGTAAACTAGTGCTGCCTCTGTGGAAATCAGTGTGGCGATTCCTAAAAGCTCTAAAAATCGACCTTCCATAAGACCCCACAATCTGCCTGCTCGGAATATACCCTGAAGAACTCAAATCACTCTATAAAAAAGATACCTGCACACGTATGTTTATCGCAGCACTGATCACAATAGCAAGGCCATGGAACCAACCATGCTGTCCATCAAAAGAGGACTGGAGTAACAAAATGTGGTACATATACACAATGGAATATTATGCAGCCATAAAAAAGAACAAAATCATGAATTTCACAGCAACCTGGATGGAATTAGAGTCTATAATACTGAGTGATCTCTCACAGAAACAAAGATCTGAGTATCACATGTTCTCACTCATAAGTGGACCTTGAACAACTATCATAATACTAGAAGAAAAGGATTGACAGTGGCAGGAAACTATGGGGGAAGGGAGGTGGGATTAACGGTCATTGATATCCGTATGGGGACGGGAGTGCACACCTCATCAACAAGGGTACCTGCACAATGCATATTTGTATACCTAACCCTTAACTATACCCCACAATTTTAAAATAAAAAATATGTAGTAAAAAAGAAAGAAATAAATATAAAGATGTTTGTTTGCCATTTATCCTTCACAGCATACCTCAAAATCCATCTTCTCAAAAGTGCACTAAATGTCAGTGTCAATTTCCAAAGATTCAGAATGTAAAGTAGGAAAACATAACATCTGTGAATGGGACTAGGAAATCGATGTGAAGATGAGGATAACCACAAATAGTCATCTATTAAGTAACACATTACTAATAAAAAAATCTGTCTTAAAGAGGGGCTATTTTGATTAACACAAGTGCTTCAACAAAAACATGCATTCCTCTAGAAAATTATGATTCAGTAGATATGGAGCTGTATGCCTTTTTTTGTTTTTTTTTTTTTGATCAGTCTCACTCTGTCACCCAGGCTGGAGTGCAGTGCACCCTCTCAGCCACTGTAGCCTCCACCTGCTGGGCTCAGGTGATCCTTCCTCCTCAGCCTTCCAAGTAGGAACTACAGGCAATCATTACCATGCCTGACCAATTTTTTGATTCATTGTAGAGACAATGTCTTGCCAGGTTGTCCAGTCTGGCCTCAAACTTCTGGTCTCAGGCAATCCTCTTGCCTCTGCCTCCCAATGCGCTGGGGTTATAGGCATGAGCCATTGCACCCGGCTGTATTTATTTAAGTAACTCTCCAGGTGATTCTTATGCCCACCAAGTTTTGAATACTCCTTTACTGTTCTTGAGTGAAGCACTCTGTGGAACACAGATCTATGTGGATGCAACTAACATGTTAATAACAGTTTTTGTTTCTTTACTTTGTTTTTTAAGCATGGGAACTTATTGTAAGGTATGGAGTGACACATAGCTCTTTCAAGCTCTTTTGAAAGAAGTTTTCCACAGAGAAATCTTAAGATTGGCTGAGAGGAGATGTTAACTAGGAAGACTTGTTGGTCTATGTCTGTTTTCTTGAATTCCTGACCCTTAGTAGGTACACAATAAATATTTGTTGATCAAATATAAAAGTACTTAGGGTAAGTAATACATATTAACAGAATAATTATTTTTGTAGACAAAATTGTGTTGCAAAAATAAACTAAAAATTACCCTTCTGATACTCTAATGACAACCAAGAAAAGAAAATCTTTCTTTTTCGTAACCTACCATGACTTTACTTAACATTATTATCTAATGGTTGTTTTAGCAGAATTTTAAAAATTTGCTTCTTGTGTCTTATTTGCATATATTTTCATGAACTTTCAGCTACTCTACCTGGTGTGATTTCTGGTGACCTGCCCGTGAATGACAGATAATAGAAGGGGATATATTACATTTTAGTGACCAGAGTGGAAGATGAAGGGGCATCTATACATGGTCTTTCTCTCTGAATTATGTTGTCTTTGGAAGGGCTTTTAAGGTGCTCCGTCTGTTTCTGGTGCAGGGCAGCAGGCCACACGCTTTCTTTGATCATTGCTTCCATAGGCCTTATATCAAATGAAAATGTTTATATAAGTCAGGAATTCAAATGCACACTGTTAATTAGTAGCTGAGTTTATAGAGTTATAATAGGCTTTTATTTCTTTCGTGGAGGATATTGTTTTATTTCAGCAAATTCAGTGAATTACCAGATTTTTTTTTTTTTGCCTTCTTTATATTTATGTCACAATAGCACAAAAGGTCTTTCATAAATGCAATATTTTTTTAAAAATCACTTTAGGCAATTAAAATGTGTTACTATTTGCATTAGGAATGGATTAACCTGTGTTCAGCCTAGCCACTTAATTACATGACTTCTCCTTTTAAACAGTAGTTTTAATAGTCTATGGAAGTGATTGGCAAACTGTAGCCCACAGGCCACCAGCTTCTGCTTGTTTTGTAAGTAAAGTTTTATTGGAACACAGTCACTCTCATTTGTTTATGTACGTGTCAATGCTTTCCACGACAACAGCAAAACTGAGTAGTCAGAAAGACTGACTCACAAAGCCTGAAATATCTGCTTTTTTGGACCCTTACAGAAAAAAATTGCTGAAATTTGGTCTATAAATAACATGATTTCGTTTGCTGCTTTTGGACCACTAATGTTTTGGAAGATTTTAAAATAATCTTCTAGTGAGCTTTTGACATTTCACTGCTATTTTATGGTTTACACATGGCAAGAATATCACCTAAACTTTTCAAGAAAGAATTGTAAAGGATGCACCTTGAAATTCGCAATAATTTTATACCAAGTAGAGGTCATATGTGAAAATTATATAAAATGTTTATGTTTTATCTTACAGCATTTAAAAGATTTCTTTTTTCTGGGTAGTTAAAACTATGAATTAGATGGAATTATATGAGATAGCATTTTTTACTATACTAATGATTTTTTTTTAAGTTGTCGCTGAGACAGAAGTTTTACTAAAAGAGTTGGAGCAAATGCTGCAGCAAGCACTAGAGCCCACAGCACCTGACGAGTCCGAAGAAGGAGGAGAGGAAATAAATACAGGAGAAAAGGTAGCATTAATAGTTATTATTGCAATTTAAAATTCTTTAAATGACCGAATGGTTTCCGGTTGCACATTTCAATTATATACAAAACCTTTCTCGTGTCTGAAATTTGAGCCTTTGATTATCATAAGATGAATAATAAACGAGTAACCTATTGAGACATCAAAATACATCTCTCAGCGTTTGAGAAAACGATCTGTGTTTAGCAGAAGAGTTCTTTTAATTTTAGATCTTTGGGCTTGGAATAAAGAAGGAGGGAGGGGGCTTCCTGTAGATGAGGCAGGCACTACAGAGAGACTTCTCCCCTGCTGCTGATCTCTACAGTCAGGAGAGGGGTCAGGATAATAGCAGCGTGCTGAAAAACCTGCCCTGTCTGGGTCACACACTGGGAAAACCTCTATAAGGGCAACTTTCATTAACAAGCTGGAGGTAGAATTTTTCATTGGAAAAGGTATCACCATTCACATGTAGATTTGTCCCTTTTTTTCTTTTCACTTTCAGTGTTGAACTCAAGAAGGCCATATATGCTTACTTTATTCAATGTCTCTACAAATAAAATGAGGGTTTGTGGTACCAGGCCCAGGTCATTAATACAGAGTAGCAGTGTGGTAGGGATAAGAAAAATAAGTCAAAAGTAGAACTTGCACAAAGCAGTACAGTTGTTTCCTTAGTAGGGAGAAAAATGGAAATGAGTTTTGTATCCTTAAGGTTGGATTCATTCATTCATTTAGATACATAGTATTCCTACAGTCAAGAGAGTATAATGACACTGATTCTGGAATGTAATGCCAGTGTCCCAATCCTAGGCCCACCATTAAGAACTTGTATAATTTGGCTTATCGCCTAACCCAGAGGATTGTTTTGAGGATTAAATAAGGTAAATCATGAAAAGTGTTTTGCATTGGATCAGAAACCTAAGACTAGCTTTTATTACAGATGAAAATTGGCAATAACAATTACTAGAGGAAAAAAGTGCTAAGATTTGTGTTTATCTTTCTTTTCCTGCATTTACACTTTGAGCAGTTACCCATCTGAAAGTCTGTCTGTCCTCAGATATAGGAAAAGATGGAATTATAAATGAAAGAGGTGGTTTATACTTCTAGGCAGACCTCCCAATTGTGTGATTTCATTCAGAACTTCAATAAAAACAGATTATTTGTTTGTCTGTTTGTTTGTTTTAGAGTTGTGGAGTACATGTGAGAATTTGCTACATAAGTAAATTGCATGCAGGTGAGGTCTGAGCTTTAGCAAGCCCTCTCCCTCCCTGGTAGTGGACGTGGTACCCAGTGGGAGGTTGTGTGTCCCTTATCCCCCCGCTCCCTTCTTTAACAGTGCCCAGTGCTTGTTTTTCCTGCCTTCGTGCCTGCATGCCCAATGTTTAGAGCCTGCTTATAAGGAAGAAAATGTGCTATTCAGATTTTTGTTCCTGTGATAGTTCACTTCGAACGATGATTTCCAGCTGTATCTATATTGCTGCAAAGACATGATATTATTCTTTTTTATGGCTGCACAGTATTCCATCATGTACCACATTTTCTTTATCTAGTCTACCTTCAATAGACATCTGGGTCGACTCCATATTTTTGCTATTGTGAATAGTGCTGCAATAAACAAATGTGTGCAGGTGACTTTTTGATAGAGAGATTTGCATTCCTCTGGGTATATTCCCAGAATAGGAATTGCTAGGTAGTATAGTAGCTCAATTTTTAGTTTTTTGAGAAAACACCACACTGCTTTCCACAAAGGTTGAAATAGTTTGCATTTCTAGAAATAGTTTACATTTCCACTAACAGTGTAGAAGTATTCCCTTTTCTCTGCAGCCTTGCTAAGACCTATTGTTTTTTGACTTTTTTTTTTTTTTTTTGGAGTTGGAGTCTCACTCTGTTGCCCAGACTGGACTGCAATAGCCGCTCCCAGCCATCGCAGCCTCGACCTGCTGGGCTCTGGCGATCCTTCCGTCTCAGCCTTCCAAGTAGCTGGAACTACAGGCGCACACTACCACGCCCAGCTAGTTTTTGATTTATTGTATAGAGATGAGATCTCACCAAGTTGCCCAGGCAGGTCTCGAGCCCGCGGGCTCAGGCAATTCACTCACCTTGGCCTTCCAAAGCACGGGATTACAGGCTGAGCCACCAAGCCAGGCTTTTTTTTGACTTTGTAATGACTGCCATCCTCACTGGTATGGGGTGGTATCCCACTGCATTTTTGACTTGCATTTCTCTGATGATGCGTGATGCTGAAAATTCTTTTGTGTTTATTGGCTGCTTGTATGTCTTCCTTTGAGACGTGACTGTTTATGACTTTTGTTCACTTTTTTTTAAAGATGTGGAGTGCAATTCAGGAATACAAGTAGTTATCATACAGGTGAAGTTTGGGCCTCGCTTTGGTCCCCATTTTGCCTGACTTGAGATCAGGTACCCTTATTGATGTTATATGCTCCCTTCCTCATCCTCCCCTGGCAGTGTCCCGCTACTGCCAATCCCTTTCTTATAGTATTATCATAAATGTTCAGGGCTCACTTATGAGTGAAAACATGTGGTACTCAGTTCTTTGTTTCTGTGATAAATCACTGAGTATTATAGACTGTAAATCCATCCAAATTGCTGCGAAGTCCATAATTTTGTTCTTCTTTATGGCTACATAAGGTTCCATCATGTATATGTACCACATTTTTTTTCCAGTCCAATTTTGATGGGCAGCACAGTTGGTTCCATGTTTTTGCTATTGTGAATAGTGCTGCAATAAACATGCATGCGCAGGTATCCTTTTTCTAAAGTGATTTAAGTTCCTCCAGGTATATTCCCAGTAGAGGGATTACTGAGTCTTAAGGAAGGTTAATTTCTAGTTCTTTTAGAAATCACTACACTATTTTCCCAGGAGATTGAACTAATTTGCATTCCCACCACAGTGTAGAAGCAATTTCTTTTCTCCACATTCTCACCAGTATCTGTTGTTTTTTATTTTATTTTATTAATGATGGCCATTCTTACTGGAGTTAGGTGATATCTCAACGTGGTTTTGATTTGCATTTCTCTGATGATTAGTAAGGCTGAGCATTTTTTCATGTATTTGTTGGCTGCTCATATGTCTTCTTTTGTGAGGTACCTATTCATATCTTTTGCCCACTTTTTAGTGGGGCTGTTTGTTTTTTTCCTTTTGGTACATTTGAGTTCCTTGTAGATCCTGAAATTGTTAGGCCTTTGTATACAGTTGGAAAATATTTTTTCCCATTCTGTGGACTGTCTTCCCACTCTTTTGATGGTTTCTTTTGGTTTGCAGAAGCTTTTCAGTGTGATGAGGTCCCACTTGTCTATCTTATCTCTTATGGCATGGACATCTGGGGATTTGATCAGGAATTGGTTGTCTACTCTGATTTCCATAAGTGTGTCTCCTATGTTTTCTAAGATTCTTATAGTTTGAGGTTTTATATTTAGGTCTTTGATCCATTTAGAGTTGATGTTTTTATATGGTGATAGGTAGTGGTCCTGTTTCATTCTTCTGCGTGTGGTCAGCCAGTTTTCCAGCACCACTGATTGAATAGGTTCTCCTCTCCAGAATGGTTGTTGGTGGAGGCTCTGTCAGAGATGAGTTGGTTGAGAAATTGAGGTTTTGCTTCTGGAATCTTTATCCTGTTCCATGTTCTTGTACCAATACCAGACTGTTTTAAGTTTAAGGTCTAAAAGTGTGATGTCTCCCATTTAGTTTATTTTGCTAAGGTTTGTTTTGGCTATTTGTGGTCATTTATGTTCCTATATGAATTTCTGTATTGTTGTTTCTGGGTCTGAGAAGAATGATGTTAGTAATTTAATGGATTGTGTTGAATCTGTAGATTGTCTTTGGTAGGATGAATATCTTAACAATGTTGATTCTTCCAATCCATGAATACGAAATATTTTTTCATTTTTTTTGCATCTTCTTTGATTTATTTGAGCAGTGTTTTATAGTTTTCATTGTAAAGATCTTTCACTTCTCTGGTTAGGAAAATCCTGAGGTGTTTCTTTTGTGTGTGTGTGTGTGGCTATTGTGAATGGGATTGTATTTTTTATTTGGTTCTCTGCCTGTTTGTTGCTAGTGTATAAGAATACAATGTCTTTTGTACATTTATTTTATACCCTGAGACTTTGTCAAATTCCTTTATCAGTGCAAGGAGGTTTCCAACAGATTCTCTTGAATTTTTGAGGTATGGGATCATATGGTCAGTAAAGAGGGATAACTTGACTTCTTCTTTTCCTGGTTGGGTACCCCTGATTTCCTTCTCTTGTTTGAATGCTCTAGCTAGGACTTCCAACACTATGAACAGGGGCAGTGAGAGTGGGCAGCCTTGTCTTATTCCGGTTTTCAGGGGAAATTCTTCCAATTTCTCTGTTTAGCAATATGTTGGCTGTGGGTTTATCATAGATTGCTCTTAGTATTTTGAGGTATAGTCCCTCTATTCCTAGGTGTTCAAGAGTTTTTATCAGTAAGTGATGCTGGATTTTATTGAAAGCTTTTTCTGCATCTAATGATATAAGTATGTGTTGTTTTTACATCTGTTGATGTATTTAATTACATTTATGGTCTTGCAGATATTGAACCAGTCCTGCATCCTGGGGATGATGCCTACTTGGCCATCATGGATGATTTACCCACTTTTTAATGGGGTTATTGTTGTTTTTCTTTTTCTGTCAATTTGTTTGCATTCCTTATAGATACTGGATCTTAGACCTTTGTCAGATGCAGAGTTTGCACATATTTTTTCCCATTCTGTGGGTTGTCTCTCTGTTCTCTTGGTGGTTTCTTTGGCTGTGCAAAAACTTTATAACTTGATAAAGTTCCACCTGTCAGTTTTAGCCTTTGGTGCATTTGCTTTTGAGAACTTGGACATAAATTCATTGCCAGCTCTGATGTCCAGGCAGGTGCTCCCCAGGTTTTCTTCTAAGATTCTTATAATTTGAAGTTTCACATTAAGTCTTTGATCCCCTTTGAGTTAATTTTTGTATATGCTGATAGGTAGGGGTTCAGCTCCA